GTGCACATGCTCCATTTATGTGCCATAGTGGCTTGTGGAGTCAGAGGACAACTTGCTGGAGTCTGTTCTCTCTTTCCACAATGTGGTTTCTGGGGATTGAATTCAGGTTGTCAGGCTTGGTGAAGAGTGCCCTTGCCCACTGAGCTGTTTTATCTGGTATAATAATTTTGTTTATTCTTCATCCAATGTTGAAATTTAACTATTGTCCCAATGATATACTTACAGCAACCTCCGTTTTTAATGTTTTGATTCAGAATCCAGTCTATAATTATTCCTTGCATTTAGTTGCCTTGTCTCCTTAGTGAGGAACAACAGGCGTCATCTTTCATGTCATTGTTCTATTTTGAAACTTGTTATTCCACAAGTCACTTGTTTTGTAGTCTTGTTCCCTCATTTAAGTCTGATGGTTTACCTTGGGCAGGTGCAGGGTCCACAGAGATACTGCATTGCTTCCTACTGCTCCCCACTTGGAATCACCGCTTTCTTCTGCATGGTGCTAGTTGTAGCTATTTCTCCAGGGCCATGGGTCTTCTGGAAGAATGATAATTAAAGCTTCATGTTGGATGCTGTATATTCTCTTGCTCCTGGGAGATACCTGTGTGCCAGTGATTTCTTCTGTGCGTTCAGAATGTGTCATGGCTTGTACATTTTTTACTAGATCTTGTAAAGGTGTTAACTATTGGTGGTTTCTTTGTGGAAGCCTAACATACTTACTTAATTTATTTATTGAATGGTTTACACTTTCAGTTTTTAAAACCAATGAGCTACTCTGTAAGAATAGTTTGTCACAATAAATTTGGCAACATAGGTTGCTTATGACAATTTTGTTAATTTAATCTTGTTGGAGGGAGGTTGCTTGTTTGTTCCCGGCTGCTCAGCCCTAAAACAGTCACACAGAAACTGTATTAATCAAATCACTGCTTGGCCCATTAGCTCTAGCTTCTTATTGGCTAACTCTTACATATGAATTTAACCCATTTCTGTTAATCTGTATATCACCACATGGCTGTGGCTTACCAGGTAAAGTTCCCAGCATCTGTCTCCAGCGTCTCCATGGCTTCTCTCTGACTCCACCATTCTTTCTCCCAGCGTACAGCCTAGCTTTCCCCTCCTAGTTCTGTTCTTCCCTGCCATAGGCTCAAAGCAGTTCTTTATTCATTAACCAATAAAAGCAACACATAGACAGAAGGACCTCCCATACCATAATCTCAGTAATGTAATTTTGTCTAATTTCTTATTTGTGGTATTTTTTTAAAATTCACTTTTAATAGTCTTTTTAAGTCCTTACTTAAAAAAATATTCTGTGAATGCCTGTGTGCATATCTGTTTGTGGGTATGTGCTTAAGAATGCTAGTGCCCTCAAAGTCCAGAAGCATTTGATACTCCTGGAGCTGGAATTACAGGCAGTTGTGAGCTGCCTAGCTTGGATGGTGGGAACTAAGTTTGAGTCCTATGGAAGGGCAGTACGGGTTCTTAGACATTGAGGACCCTCTCCAGTTCCAAGCCTTTCTATTATGTGCTTATTTTCAGTTTAAGCAATTTAAATCACTTTGCTTTCTATTTATTTATTTATTTGTTTATTTATTAAAAATTTCTACCTCCTCCCCACCTCCCATGTTCCTCGCACTCCCCCTACTCTTCCTCCCCCTCCCTCTCCAGTCCTAAGAGCAGTCAGGGTTCCCTGCCCCATGGGAAGTCCAAGGTCTTCCCCACTTCATCCAGGTCTAGGAAGGTGAGCATCCAAATAAACCAGGCTCCCACAAAGACAGTCCATGCAGTAGAATCAAAACCCAGTGCCATTGTCCTTGGCTTCTCAGTCAGCCCTCATTGACAGCCACATTCAGAGAGTCCGATTTGAGCACACGCTCCATCAGTCCCAGTCCTGCTGGCCTTGGTGAGCTCCCATTAGATCAGTAACACCATCTCAGTGGATGGCCACACCCCTCGCGGTCCTGACTTCCTTGCTCATTTTCTCTCTCCTTCTGCTCCTCATTTGGACCTTGGGAGCTCAGTCCAGTGCTCCAACGTGGGTCTCTGTCTCTATCTCCATCCATCGCCGGATGAAGGTTCTATGGTGATATTTTGCTTTCTCTTTATGTTTTGTTTATGTTTGGGTGGGAGGCACAGACAGGTCTTACTGTGCTGTGCAGGCTGGTTCTGTGTTCCGAAACCTAGTCTTGGTGCTCCTTTTAAAAGTGGGCTATTTCAGGCTTGCTTTTTATTAATTTTTTTTGTAATCACTGGATATCCACCCAAAATTTGACACATAGTACTTTTTTGTGTTGTTTCTAATTACTTATTTATTCCCTTTAATTTCAGAGCTTACCGACATTTCTGGTTATCTTTTATTGATTTATGGTTAATTGTATGATATAATATGATTTGGCTTTCATGTTTTGAATTTTGAATTTTCTTGGCAGTTGTTTTATGACTTGATATTACCAAAATTTATAGAATTGAATGTATTTGAAGATAATATTGTCCAGCAGTTACAGTGCTATATGTGTATGTTATTTAAATATCTTGTTTTAGGGTCTGTTTGAGGTGTCAGTTACATAGAGTTTTGAAATAAAATGTCTTTTCAGGAAACGTGATTATTCTGTTTTGGTTTTATGCGTTTTGAGGTTATGTTATTGGGTACATACATGTTTATCATCTCACTATGATTAGTTGAACTTTCGTTTTTGCTCTAATGCTTGCTTATATAAAAATGACTTTTTTTTTTTTGGAGGTGGGGATGTTAATGCCAGTTAGCCTCTGCTTTCTTTGCTGGCATTTTTTGTAAATTCAATTTAGTATTCTACAGAATAGATTCTCAGACATTTAGAAAGGATCAGGTAAACATCATATATTTGGAAGAATGATAGTAAATCTGCAGACTTTCAACAATAAAACAGTAAAAATCGACCATTAAAAACCAGTACTAGCCATCCAGTAAGGGTTATCCATCTTGTCCATAGGGTAGAGATTTGAAACCAAAAATTTCCATTACTAACCTGCTTCATAAAATTTTGAATTTTGATGAAACACATAAATTCATAGAAATTATATGCTAATTACATAGTTATTTGTAGAATTAGAAAACATGAAACATGGTAATATGACAACATTAAATGAATCAGCTGTCAAAAGTCCACTGAAAGGACACATATGAAAGATGTTTTTCTAGACCCTGAAGTTGTGGTCATCTGTACTGTCTTTTAAAAGTTTTATTAAAATTGGGTGGTGATGATGCACACCTTTAATACCAGCATCCAGGGAGGCAGAGGCAGGTGGATCTCTATGAGTTTTGAGGACAGCCTGGTCTACAGAGTGAGTTCCAGGACAGCCAGGGCTACACAGAAAAACCCTTTCTTGAAAAAACCAAAAAAATTATTGATATTTTTCACACATACTTAAACTAGCAGGAATGATGAGCTTCAGTGGTCAGTGAAGGACTGAGAACTTGCATGACAACTTGCAGGTCAGTGAGCTGGGCTTTCCATTGCTGCCAGACTAGATACACACAGCACACAGGAAGGAGAATTATAGACAAAGATTTGTTTATAATCTTTTATTTAGAAGGAAAACTTCTAAATGAAATCAAAGCAGAGACATCTCAGTTGTGTATTGAAAGAACTATTGAAGTCAAAAGAAGGTTTTACCAAAAAACAAACAAACAAACAAAAAAAAAACCATTCAGGTCTTAAGGCCTGAGTAGTAGCATTTCCTGTTAAGACCATGAAAAAGAAAGTAAGAACTTCAGAGGCAGCAAACAGTTCCAGCAGTTAAACATTACTGTGCCTGTAAATTATATTCTTACCAACACTTAGCAGTTTCAGATTTTTAAACAAAAATTTGATACATTAGTAACTAAATAATAGAGAATTCTGTTAATTTTTATTTTCCCCATTTTTTGTAGTGTGCAATGTTTTCTTAAAATTAACAACTTTCATTCAGCCACACTGAAAATATTTAAATATCATTTTTTGCATAATTTATTTATTTAAAGACAAGATCTGGTTTTTTTTGTTTGTTTTTTTCTTTCCTTCTTAGTATCTTTAGCATCTTGTACAAACTTGACAAGCTGGCAGTATTGAAATAAACTTTTTAAAACCAGAATAACTAAAATTTAATTCTGATGAACACATGGTTGTTAAAATGTTTTGTCAAAGGTTAAAAGGATGGATGTCTTAAGAACCAAAGGATAGTTTTTTCTACACAGAAGCTTATTTCATAAAAGCATAAGGTAAATAAATGCTGCAGAATTATCGATGAGAAATGAATATGACAAGTATACAGATTTTGTGGAGTATATAGTATTAACATAAATAGACTGTGTACATACTATTGTCCTCTGACGTTCAGTGTACTACTCATTCAGTTTATTCGTGACACCCAATGTTGTCCTTCCACCTATACATGTATGCAACACCTATACATGTATACACGCATGCACCTGCACACACAGACATGCAGCGAGCTCACACAAACGCGTGTGTACCTGTAACCCCGCCCCCCCCCCCCCTTTTTTTGAGAAAGGGTTTCTCTGTAGCTTCAGGGCCTGTCCTGGAACTAGCTCTTGTAGACCAGGCTGGCCTCGAACTCACAGAGATCTGCCTGCCTGTGCCTCCCTAGTGTTGGGATTAAAGGCTTGTGCCACTACTGCCTGGCCCTGTAACCCAGCACTTCTTAAGGTAGAGGCAGAAGAATTACAAGTTTGCCTGGGCTACACAACGAGTTGCAAGCAAGTTGTAAGCTGGACTACACATGTAGTTGTAAGCTACATGCCCAAGACCCTGTCTCAAACAAAAAAATATATATGTAAATAAAAGGAATCATAAACTTTTTATAGTAGTTAATTTATGCTTCTATAGTTTAATTAGACTTTAAAGGTGCTTTGGTTTAGTTCTTAATTATAATTTGAATTTTTATTGTTTAAGAAATTCTCATCTGTTGTACATCTACTTTGCATCACATTTCATTAAGAAAGTAAATGATTTTTTGTTTTTTTGTTTCAGCTAAACCATTTACTTCTAAAGTGAAACAAATGCGATTACACAGAGAGGACTTTGAAATATTAAAGGTGATTGGTCGAGGAGCCTTTGGGGAGGTAAGAGATGATTTTATAGAATGTTTGCTAATTGTTTTAGAATACAATGGTGAGTGATATCTATTTGATGTTATAATTGATACGACTGATCAGAAAACAGATTAAAGTTGTGAATAAGGCATTTTGCATGGATTGCTTCCTATGATGCTTCACATTTTAATGTGTACTGAATTTTGTTTCTAGTCTGTTTCCTTCTTGTGACAAGGCCACATTATCTCATGCTACCTCATCTCCTAAGAAGTTTTGGTGTGTCTGGTAGAGTTTCTTCCTCCTGATCCTGTCTTTTCTTCCTTGTGTTTTCATATTACTTTAGAATCTTGTTTTCATGCACGCACGCACACACGCACGCACGCGCACACACACACACACACACACACACACACACACACACACAGAGAGAGAGAGAGAGAGAGAGAAAGGAAGAGAGGAAACAGGAAACTAGAGAGATCTGAAGTTTGGGATAGGATTTCATTAAAACTGGAGATGAATTAATAACTAATTGAAATTTTAAGATTGAGTCAGCTAATACATATACATGATATATGTCTCCTTTATTTAGGACTTTATAAGATTGTAACTTCATTCAGTACAAAGGATTCCACATCTTTTAGCAGGTTTACTAGATGTCTGGTATTCCTGAGGTTATTTTAATTAAAATGCCTTTATTTCATTTTCTAATTGTTGAAAATACAAATCTTGCAATTACATGAATTTTATTTATTAACCTAATGGCCAGTCATTGTATTAATTTTACTTTTAAAATAGTGAAATGTGTTGAGTATTAATAAAATACTTCATCTTTTCTGTTGAGACACCTGTTTTCTCCTTTAATTGGTTAATGTGTTGAGCTTCACTTGTTAATTTCAAATGTTAAACTAATTTAATAAAATGATTCCATTTATCTATAAGTATTATAATATCTAAAGTATTATTGTTCTTTGCATCAGTAGATTTGGCATGCTATAAAAATATGTGTATATTTAATTTTTTCACCTATTTTTTGAACAGAAATTGGCTTGTTATTTTCTTCTAATACCTTTATCAGATTTTGGGATTTTGGTGCTGCTGGTCTCTTGGGAGGAGTGTTTTCTCTCTCACTGCTTTCTGCAAGCTTCTGAAGTGGTTGCCATTTTCTTTACATGCTTCTCATGTTTCACAGGTGAAGCCTTCTGAGCCTAGAGTTTGACTGAGATAGTCAATATATTTAATTTTTTACAATGGAGTTTTAAAAAATTATATGTTGGTTTGTTCACCTCATGTAACTTTTAGAACTTAGTATTGTATCGATCAGTTATTGATTCATATGATCATTGGTTGACCTCATTCTTAATTCTTAGTCTTGTTAGGGAGTTGGTCAGTTTTCTTTGTTTTTCAATGAACTTTTAGCATCTTTAGTTAGTTTTGCTGTTATAGATTATTTCCCACTCTTTAATAATTTATTTTCTTTGGTATTAACCTACTGTCCATCCTTCTAATTTACTGATGTAAGTAATTTAGAACATTGGTTTCTACTTCTTTTAAAATGTACATTCGAGCTGTTTTCCTCCAGGCAGCGCTGTCATGCTTCCATTATTGCTTACTCCAATTTCCAGTGTGATTTTACATCTTCAGTTTGTTTTGTTTTGTATCTGTGAGTTTAGAAGCTCATCAATATTTCTAAGTGCCTTGAGGACTTTCTGGCTCTGTTTTTGCTATTGAGCTATAAAGTGATCAGATAGCATATATTATATGATTGTAATTTATTAGGTTAAATTCATTAATTTAGCTATTTAAAATTTTCATTCAATTTTTCAGTTTTCTCTTGAGTTGCCATTTCCTCAGAAAGAGATTGGTTTATTTGTTTATTTCTTTCAGTTTTCTTTCCTTGACATTTTTTTCTTGATCTACTTCTACCTGAGAGATTTTTTTCTTTTTTGTTTCTCTTATTTTTAACATTTCTTCCAATTTATGCTGATAACAAATAGTTGTCTTGTCTTCTTAATGACAAACTCTATCATTATAGAATGTTCTCGTTATCCCTGTGATGCTCTTTGCAATACATTAATCTGATGTTAGTCGAAATATTTTAACTGTTAGTTTTACATTAAATACCTAGCTAAATTCTTTTAGTTTGTTTCCTGTAGCCTAATAGTATGTTCACTACTAAGTGGAATATCAATTCCTTGTTAGCCCTCTCCTCTTATCATAGATTTATGTTACCTGATTTTCAATTTTATGTTAATAGAATTATTTACTGTATATTCTTGTTTCTAGTGTCTGTACTCCATGTTATACTTATCTGTCACACTCTTGTTTTTCTTTTCTTCTGTTCTTTAACCTTTATCTCTTTGTGTGTGTCTCTGCTCTCTGTGTGTGCATATGCATGCATGTATGTGTGTGGAGTGCCATGGCATGCATGTGAACATGTGGAGGTCGGAGGGCAACTGTAGAGTCATTTCTCACTTTCCACCATGTGAGTTCTAGAAACTGAACTCAGTTCATCTGGATTGGCAGCAAATGCCTTTACCCATTGAGCTATCATACTGGCTCCACATTCTAGTTTTCCACTAACTAGCTTACCGTATTTCTTTATATGAATATGCCTGCTGATGGACGCTGCTCATTCATTTCCGGCTGCCCAGACCCAAAATAATTGCATAGAAATTGTATTAATTAAATCACTACATGGGAAATAGCTTATGCATATTTCTAGCTAACTCTTACATCTTAAATTAATCCATCTTTATTAATCTGTACATCATCACGAGGCCGTGACCTACCAGGAAGGTTCTGGTGGGCTTTAGCAGGCATCTTTCTTCTGTAGCTACATGGATTCTCTCTGACTCTGCCTACTCTCTCTCTACATCTTTTCCAGCCTGGCTATATTCTGTTAAGTCATTGGCCAAAGCAGCTTCCTTATTAACCAATGGCAGTGAAACATATTCATAGCATACAGAGGGGAATCCTACATCATATGCCATATGTTTTTCATTCATAATAGCATTGTTGATTACTAAAATTACTTACGGTTTTTAGCTGTTCAGAATATTGCTGTCAGAAACATTCTTACATCTTTGGTGACATATAATTATTTATATTTATACCTTCATTTATATTTTATATAAATCTAGGAGTGAAATTCCTTCGTCCTAGGGTAGGCATAGTTAGCTTTAGTAGACAGTACCGAATAATTTTCTAAGTACTGAGTCACATTTATACTCTCTCATCTCACTTTCTCACTAGTCTCATTTTCCTAACTTAAGCCACTTTTGGTGTTCATTGTGACTCCATTTTGCATTTTCTGTTAAGTCTTATTAGTATTCAATAACCCTTTGTAACATATCATGTCGATATCCTTTGGACAAGATACATTTTTGGATTAGGGAGGTAGGAGTTGAATGTCAGTGATATATTTTGGATGTAAATGATTTCATGGATATGTATGTACAAAAAGTGGGTTTGGCTTTTTCTTTCCAGGTAGGTCTTGTATTAAAATAAATTTTAGTAATTAAACTGTAATGTTTAGTGATTTTTGTGTTTAAGAATTTTTCCTAACCTGAAGATCATTAATATTTTTCTTTCATTAAAAAAGACATTTATTTTTCATTTAATTGTGTGAATGGTTTGTCTGCATGTATATATGTACACTATGTTGCCTGAAATGGTCAAAAGATGGTGTTGGATCTCTGGAACTGGAATTACTGAAGGTTGTGAACCTCCATGTGGGTGCTGGGAACTGGACCCAGCCCTCTGTAAAAGCAGTAAGTGCTTTTAAGTTCTAATCCATCATCCTACCTACTTTCATCTTTTTAGAAATTCTTCTATAAAATGCCAAGCACGATGATGTACACTTGTAATCCTAACACTTGGAAGGGTGAGGCAAGAATTAAGTACTATTCTTTGCTACTTAGTGAGTTTGAGGCTAGCCTGGACTACATGAGACCCTGTCTCAACCACCCGTCCACCCTCCAAAAAGAAAAATTCTTTCTATAATCTTTTAAAAAACCTTTTCCATTTAGATCTGTTTCTGTGATTCAATTGGTATTGATTATTCTTTGTTTTCTGAAGTATTATTTAAACATACTTTGCTTTTATTGAAATAAATTTGCTAGTACTTAGATAAAGAAAAGAAATTTGCTTAACTTTGTAAGTGTATGTGTTGTGTGCTGCCTGTTTTGTTTATCACTTGGTCTTGCTTGTGCCAGTACCACAGTAAATTGATTTCCGTGGCTTTATACTAAAAAGTTTAGAGCATTCAGTCAATGGAGTGTAGGGTTGTGCTAGTAATTCTAGGGCGTTTGTGATTTAGAACCAGCATGTTCAGTTTCCATCATGCCTGCTAGATGGAGTTGAGCCGTTGAGTGTATAGAGATAGAGTTCGGGAAAACTGACATCTAATATTGTTAAATCTAGTTCACAGACAAGGACTTTCTTTTTTAAAAAAAATCTGTGTGTATGGTGGAACACTTGTGTAGTGGTGTGTGTGTATGTGTGTGTGTAGTCAGGTGTTGAACCTCAGGTGTCGAATCTTGCCTTCCACCTTGTTTGAGACCAGGTTTTTAAAAATTTTATTTATTTTTTCGCTGCTCCTATACTCAACTGGCAGACTGTGGGCTACTAGGGGTTCTGTCTTCATCTCTCAACTGGCTATAGGAGCACCAAGATCACAGATTGCTTCTTAGCTCAACTTTACCTGGGTCCTAGGGATTTGAACTCTGGTCCTCATACTTGCATGGTTAGAACCTTACCTACTGAGCCATTTCCTCAGCCCTATTGTTTCTTAAGGTCTGTTTTATTTAAATTTTAGATTTTAGGTATTATACATAGCTTGTTCAATTTATTCCCAAGTATTGATGTTTTTTGATTTGATGGCAGATTACTATAAAATTTTTATATTAAGTATTATGTTTTGATATGTAGGTACTATTGATTTTTATATCTGCCTTTTATTTCCTGATGTCATGTTTTGATTATGTGTTTGAGAAGAACAGTTTTCTTTTTTAACTTTTCCATTTCTTTGT